GTAAGGAGTCTGGCCGCCGCATTCTGCACCACCTGAAGTTTCCGCATCAGCTTCAAAGGCAGCCCACGTAGAGCGCATTACAGTAGTCTAATCATGAGATTACGAGCGCATGCACCAAGGTAGTGAATGCCCCTGTGTCGAGGTAGGGCTGCAGCCGGGCAATCTGCCAGAGGTGGAAAAAGGCGGTGCGGACTACCAACGCCACCTGTGTTTCCATGGTGAGTGTCGGGTCCAAATGTATGCCCAAGCTGCAGACCTCACTCTTCATGGCCAGGGTCACCCCCCCAAATGTGAGAGAGTCACCCAAGCCGCCAACAACAGGGCCATCCACCCTTAGAACTTCCGTCTTGTCTGGGTCAAGCCTCAGCCCATTCTCCTGCATCCACTGCAGTATGGCCCCCAGGCAGCGCTGGAGGGGCAGGACGGCATCATCTGCAGTTGGTGAAAAGGAGATGTAGAGCTGGGTGTCATCAGCATATTGATGACACGAAGCCCCACATCCCCTGATGACCCCTCCCAGCGGCCTCATATAGATGTTGAACAGCATTGGGGAGATGATCGACCCCTGTGGAACCTGACACTTGAGACTCCTCAGGGCCAAGACACTCTCCCCAAGCTGCACTCTCTGGGGACAGTCCCCCAAGAAGGAACGGAGCCAGGCGAGTGCCGAGCCACCAATTCCCAACTCGGAGAGCTCCCCAGGAGGATACCGTGGTTGACGGTATCAAAGGCCGCCGAGATGTCGAGGAGGACCAACAGAGCCTCCCTCAACAGGTACAGGGCGACCAATGCCATCTCTGTACCGTGGTGCGGCCTGAAGCCCGACTGAAACGGATCCAGGGCATCTGTTTCATCCTAGTAGGCCTGAAGCTGATCAGCCACAACCCTCTCGACCACTTTGCTCATGAAAGAAACATTGGCGATGGGCCTATAATTGCCAATTTCGTCCGCCGCCATATTGAGTTTCTTTCTTATGGGCCTAATGAGTGTCTCCTTAAGGGCAGATGGAAATCTGCCCTCAAGGAAAGACCCATTTATTATTGCTGTGGCCCATTCAGTTGTTATCAGCCTGGCTGCTTTGATTAGCCAGGCCGGGCAAGGGTCAAGGGAGGAGGTGGTGGCCTGGCAGTGGTCAAGCACCTTGTCCACAGAGTCAGACATCACAGGCTGAAAAGAGTTGAAGGTTTATTCTACCTATTCGCTTGAAAATTGTATCTCCTGTGCAATGGTACTTGATGATTGGACCATCACCATGAGTTGATACATTGTTAGCTGGTGCTGCATATTAGGAATTGGGGTACAGACTAACTAAACACATAGTTCAGCTATAAGTTCACTACTAAATAGCAAATCCAGGTTATAGCCATGTTGCCATCTCCTGCTATTGAAAGAAAGGGGAAGTTTGCTGTCATGAATAAGGGCTAGTTGGAAGATTTCCACCTAGACTGTACATGTAACCCATTCTTAGCTTCTATCTTATTTCCAAAACTGGGGCAGGCACCACATGAGTCTTCCAGAGATAATAATTAAAAAAGACAGAATTCCACAACTGCTGCACCTTTTCTATAACTATCACTTGCTCTACTTTACAAGGCAGGGGAAAGAAACCAAGGAAATGTCTTTGCAAGTATTCACTTTTTTCCACCAACTCATTCTCCTATCTCTCTCTCAAAAAAACTGTCAGTCACTCCTCATATCACCAATAACTTTTAGCAAAAGAAGTGGCATATTTTGGTTCTGCTGGTAATTTAAATTCCTCTTCACATGGTGCCACTAAATTTACTTCAGAAAGAAGGGTCATAAAAGAATAGCAGATATACTGGAAGAGGACTACCCTTTAAGAAACATAGTTCAGCTATGCTATGGATGGCATTAAAGGTAATATTAATAAGCAGTTTTCTGAGCTAATAAGCTCTCCTAGTAGATTTCAGGACGTTCCACAGATAGCATATTGTAGTAATCTAACTTGGGAGGTTATGGTAACCGTAACAACACTTTCCCAGTTACTACAAGAGGTGGCAGATGATGAAGGAACCTTAGCTCTATACTGTGGACTCAACTTGCAATTTAGAGTAATCAAGCCACCTCTCAGACTTGGATTATACCCAGAACAAACCAGTTTTTAGGGGATGGTGGGCAGTCAGTCTCATCTGGAACAAGCTGCACAGTAACTCCCTATTAAGACAGGAACCCCCCCCCCCAACATAACTATTTCCCTCTTAATAGGAGTGCCATTCAATTTAAGATCACATCTACACAACAAAATTATTTGTTGCAAGTTACAGCTTCCTCTGACAATTCAGAGAAAGATCAAGGATGTTTACTAAGATAGATCCCATTCAGCTTTTAAGATCTAACAAATTAATATTTTTTCCATAACTTTCATACTTTTTCTGTTCAATCTTTCTTCCAATTACTTAAAAGACTTTTGCGAAGACTTTCACGGCCGGGATCTAATGGTTGTTCTGGGTTTTTCGGGCTCTTTGGCCGTGTTCTGAAGGTGGTTCTTCCTAACGTTTCACCAGTCTCTGTGGCCGACATCTTCAGAGGACAGCAACCTGGTTGCTGTCCTCTGAAGATGCCGGCCACAGAAACTGGCGAAACGTTTATTTTGTGAAGAGTAGGAGTCTCAAACTAGCATCACTTTAGCATGAGTTTCTATATAAGAATTTGTAATTTTCATGCTGTTCGAAATGCCACATTACCTGAGCTGCTTTTTGTCTTGCTTCTTCCAGCTGTCTTTGACTTTCCAAAGTCTCTTGTTCTGCCTTGATCTTCAGAAGAACCAAATCCCGTTTATGTTGTTCCTGCTGTGCCTACAAATTAAATATTAGTTTCTCTATATAGATGCTGCATTTTAATACATTGTACTCAAATCAGTTTGCATCAATTAAAGAAATTAAAACTTCTAAATACACATGATATTTAGTAACATTTGAGCATCTTTGAGTGTATTCCCTCTTCCTGTGTTCTTTCCCACAAATAGCCAGTGAAAGGCTGTGCAAGCTGTGTAGAGCTTTTATCTCCTAGTAACTGGGAAACTTCCACTCTAATCATATCAAGACATTATGGTACTCAGTGAATCTGTGAATACTAAGCATTAAATTACAGTGGTACCTCGACTTGCGAACGTCTCCATTTGCAAATGATTCGAGTTACGAACAGCTCCGTTCGCAAAAAGTTGCTTCGACCTGCGAACGGAGCCTTGACTTACAAACCAAAAGAAATAAGAAAAAACCTTTCCTCCCCTTTTTTTTGATGTAAGTTCATCTTAGATCAAAAGAAGAAGAAAAATAAAAATCGCCCCCTAGTGGTAGAGTACGGATTAACCAGCTTTGCATTAGTTCCTATGGGAACTAATGCCTCGACCTACGAACAGCGCCTCGACATACTAACAAAAAACAGCAGATGCGGATTAAATGGTTTTCAATGCATTCCTATGGAAAATTTTGCCTTGACTTACGCACTTTTCTATGTATGAACGCCATTCCAATACGGATTAAGTTTGTAAGTCGAGGTACCACCGTATATACCTGTATAGGTGTTTCTGAAAAGTGTGGTCAGCTTTTTGAGCAATATTAAATCTCAGTGTTAACCTTTGATTGAAACAAGGGAGATACTAGTTTTGTGACTTTAAGGAGACAGTGCCAAAATTCATGTCCTGTCACAAAATCTCACAGTAAAAATACTTGCAAATGTTCTAAATCCCAGCTGAGACAGTTCAGGTTCAGTGAAAAGACATTTCATGCAAAGACCTTTACAGTTACCTTTAGTATTTGGGCCAGTGAAACACTTTCTTGTTGTGCAAGTGATATACCCCGGACGCGTTCTACATCAGAGATCTGGCGTACAGATTCCTCAATAGCACTCAAGTAGTTTAATTCTGCTGACATACGATGCTGGAGGGCGGCAGGTGAGAAACGCATGGAACCTGTAATATTGCATTATTAAGCACCTAGATGCATGTGATCAAATTGTACTTTTGAAAACATGGGGTTTTTTTTGTTTTGTTTTTGCTAGCTCACCATTCATGTCAGCTGTTCCAGTCCTGTTGGTTCCAAGGTTCAAATCAGAGAAGCTGAGATTGGGCTTGAATCCAGGAGTTACAGTCACTGGAGAGTTTGAAGATCTGTTTTTTTCTGCTGTATTTATTACAAGATCTGATTGTCTCTGTAACTGTGGAGACTGAGGGGAGCTTGCAGACTGTGGGGACCTCACCTTCTCCGGGACACTAACAAGAATAAAAACAGAATTGAAAACTTGTCATACTTGCAGGTCAGGGAAGTTATACAGTAGTACGGTACAGCTTCAAACATAGATTTGCTTCTGTTCTAAGAATAACATTTTATAGGTAGGTGTCCTAGAATCTCAAAAGTACTAGATGTTTAATAATGGACTCTTATCTCAGCATAGCATGTATGTAAATTTTAAAAAGGGGAATACTAACAGATATTTATACAAACAACTGCAGTGAATCAACAAACCCTGGATTAGATGTCAGGATTTTGCTCTGCTAGTGCAACATTTTATTCAATTTTATCAGAATATAAAGAGAACACTGTTTCCCGTAACACCAGCACACTAGTAATATGATGATACACACACACAAAGCCCCTATGCATTGCTATTCATTCTCTTTGTTATGTATTCAGAATCATAAAAGTAATTATAGCATATACCAAGTAAAGTTCAGAGTTTGGTAGCAGGCAACAGTAGCCTTAGTGGTGTTTCACTGTACCTCATAGAAGAATTACCAGACAGTTCTTCCAAAGTGCTGTCAGAATCCAGGTTCTGCTCTCTAAAAGATATTCCATTACAAGGTAATGGGTTCTTCTCCTGATGATGTTTGAGGCCTGATCCTGGGGTTGTTTGGTTTTCATCCCACAAAGAAGTATTTGAAACTCCATTGAAAGAATCCAATTCTGTAGCACATTTTAGCAAAAGGGTTTTTTAAAAACAATAACCAAAAAGCAATTCCTTTTACATGCTGTTCTTAAATTTCAAAACTTGGTTGAAAGTTTCAAAGCAGGAGCATGGCCCAATACATATATGCACTAGAGTGTTAGGCCAATTTCATATCAAAGAAAGCAGCCATGAAATTCCCTGAATGATCTTGGGCCAAGTACTCTGTGGCTAACCTATCCATAGATTAGTTGGAAGGATGGGTGGCAGGAGTGAAGTGTTTAAACTCTCTTAGTAAGAGAAGTTGGAGGAAACGAGGAGAAGAAATACTAATAATAGACAGGGAAGAACAGAAGATGGAGGAAATTCAGCTTGAAAAGGCACAGAATCTACCACACACTTTAGTCTGGATAATGGTGTCAAATCATGACCAAAATCTTTATACACCAAGTACCCACAGGCTTCAGAAAATGAAATTTATGGCCATATTTTTCTCAACTCTATTACCACTATGTAACTATATTATTTTATAATGAGTATATACATTGCTACCTCTATGGTCATTACTTATTCCTCTACCTTTTGGGAGATATTCTGTGGAGAAATTTTCCAACAGTCTATTTAGAATCTATGCCCAGAATCATGTATTTGTATATACCAATCACTTGTATTACTTGTTGCACATTTGCCACATGACCTGGCATGCAACAAGGAATACTACTGGCAACTCCTTAGCTAACATCCATTTACTGCTGACATTTTTGCTGGCATAGGTAAATAGGTAATATTTCTTGTTTATGTGGGGCTAAAGATTTGGAATGAGAGATTGATAATATGATGGCAATTAGGATCCTATAGTCAAGTGCTCTGGTGTGTCTAATCATATGATTTATTACATCCTCTCATTCAGGTAAACCTTGCAATATACTGAGACCCAAATAGATTTGAAGCTAGTAAAGCTTGTCACAACTAGAGTAGGTCCATTTGAATTGATTCCTCAAATCCTCACTGATTCAACTGCCCTGCTCTAAGGGGACTTACTATGCTAAGTAACAGGATCTCATAAAATCATAGAGTCATAGAGTTCGAAGAGGGCATCCAGTCCAACTCCACGCCATGCAGGAACAACCATCAAATCACTCCCAACAGATGGTCATCCAGCCTCTGCTTAAAAACCTCCAAAGAAGGAGACTCTATCACCCTTCGAGGCAGCCTATTCCACTGCCAGACAGTTCTGACTGTCAGGAAATTCTTCCTAATGTTCAGATGGAATCCCTTTTCCTGTATTTTGTAACCATCGCTCTGTGTCCTAGTCTCTGGAGCCTTGGAAAACAAACCTGTCCCCTCTTCAACATGACATCCTTTCAAATATTTAAATATGGCTATCATGTCCCCTCTCAACCTTCTTTTTGTAAGGCTAAACATTCCCACCTCTCTAAGCCGCTCCTCCTAGGACATGGCTTCCAGACCTTTAACCATTTTAGTCGCCCTCCTCTGGACACATTCCAGGGTGTCAACATCCTTTTTGAATTGAGCTGCCCAGAACTGGACACAATACTCAAGGTGAGGTCTGACCAAAGCAGAATAGAGTGGTACTATCACTTCCCTTGATCTAGACCAGGCTTGTCCAACCTGCGGCCCGAGGGCCGCATGTGCCCCAGGTCGGCTCATAATGTGGCCCAGTGCAATTTTTTATTTTTAAAGAAATTCCAAAGTTTCAAGTTACACTGCCGGCACTTGCAGCCGGAATGCAGCTGAGGCATGTCACAAAAGTAGAGGGGGGAGAGGGAAGGAAGGAAGGAGTGGGAGGGGAGGGGACAGGGGGGCTGCGTGGCTGCATTGCGCCATCCCCATCAATAGGTGGATCCCCTCCTGGCCTCATAAAGCCGCCGGAGTCGAAGCTGGCAGCCTCTGCTGTCTGAGATCGCAGCTGCCGGTAAGCGCGCTTGGAGTGGGGCTACGGAGGACGGTTAGGATTGCCCCCCCATGCGGCCCAAACCAATTGTATGTGCGGCCCAAACCAAATTTTCATCTTCTAATGTGGCCCAGGGAAGGTGAAAGGTTGGACACCCCTGATCTAGACATTATACTCCTATTGATGCAACCAAGAATCGCATTGGCTTTCTTGGCAGCCGCATCACACTGCTGACTCATGTTCAGCTTGTGGTCTAACAAGACTCCTAGATCCCTTTCACAGTTACTGTTATCTAGACATGTGTCTTCCATCCTGTATCTGTGCAGTTCATTTTTTCTGCCTAGGTGTAGGACCTTACATTTCTCCCTGTTGAAATTCATTTTGTTAGCTTTGGCCCAGGACTTTAATATGTCAAGGTTATTTTGAATTTTAATCTTGTCCTCTGGGGAATTAACAACACCTGCCAATTTAGTATCATCTGCAAATTTAATCAACGTATTCTCTATTCCTTCCTCCAAGTCATTTTTATTATTTTTATTCTCTCTAGCAAGCCTAAGTTTGTGCTGTGCTTTAGCTTTTCTTGCCATCCTTCTACAGGTACTGGCTTTGGTGCTTTCCTCGTTTTCTCATTTCTTGCACATGGTTTTTTTTTTACACTGAGCTGAGCTGAAAGTTCTTTAGTCAACCATTCTGGTTTCTTTAGAGATCTCCCATTTTTCCTTCTTGTTAGAACAGTCTTAAATTGTGCCTTTAATATCTCAGTTCTAAAAAATTCCCATCCATCCTGCACTCCCCTCTCCTTTAGCGCTTCTGTCCACGGAATTTCAGCCAATAACTCCCTAAATTTACAAAAATTGGCTTTCTTGAAGTCTAGAATGCGTGTGAGATTACACTTGGCTTCCCCTTCCCACTGTATAATAAATTCCAAGAGAGTATGGTCTCTCCCACCTAAGGCTTCCACCACTTCAACCTCATTAAGAAGGTCCTCCCTGTTGGTTAAGATTAGATCTAAAACAGCTGTTCCCCTTGTTGCCTCTTCCACCTTCTGGATCATGAAATAGTCTTAAAGGCCAGTAAGGAATTTGTCTCAGCCACTGAACAAAAATTTAAATCTATAAAGAGACTTAAAGCACAAAATAAAATAATATCATATTATAACATACAGTGGTGCCTCACAAGACGATCGCCTCATGGGAACGATTAATCTGCAAAACAATGGATTTTTGCTATCGCTGTTGCGCTTCGCAAGACGATATTTTTTATGGACGATTTTCGCAACACAACGATTTTTCCCCATTGGAATGCATTAAGTAGATTTCAATGCATTCCAATGGGGAACTGCATTTCGCAAGACGATGTTTCCTATGGATGATTTTCGCAAAATGACTAGTTTCCCATTGGAACGCATTAATTAGATTTCAATGCATTCCAATGGGGAACTGCGTTTCGCAAGACGATGTTTTCACAAGACGACATTTTTCGCGGAACGAATTACCATCGTCTTACGAGGCACCACTGTAATTCTATTGAATAAATATAAATATTTACATTTTCATTATACATGCACATATATAAAGTGAAACTAAAATAAAATATTCCTCTCAAGTGAAGATTCCATTGATCACTCTTTATCATGTTCATATCAATTGTTCCTTCTTACCTTATCTGTAGGTATGTTTCTCAGTTTGTAGTTATGTACAAGATTTGTTGAGAGCCAAGCCAAACACAATGTGTCCCTTTCTTTTTATGAAATGGGCCAGAATATGGGGCTGGCCTGCTACATCACTGAAGCTACTATACCAAAGTAGCTGTGTAATCGAAGTAGAAGCATGTTCTTTTCTTGGTTTTTAAAAATCCCATTATGTTGTGCTTGTTACAGAAGCTTTCATTAAATCTCTTGATTAATGAACAATGTAGTGCCAGCAAGATGTTTGTGGTTTAGATATCTGGCTGTAGAGCCAGAGGTCAGGAGTTCAATTGCCCACTGTGCCTCCTAGGAAAAGAGCCAGCTGGTGTAGTCATGAGCAAGCTGCACAGTCTCAAGATGCCCCCAGAAGAAAGGAATGGTAAACCACTTCTGAGTATTCTCTACCTAGCAAACCCTGGAAAGAGTCACCGTAAGTCAGAACTGACTTGACAGCACACAATTATTACTAAGATGCTTGTGCCCAGCTCTGTATTTTCCTGTACTGAAGTAAGTGGACTCCATCTTCTAATCTAGTTTTGGGACTGAAACTATAGAATTATATTACATAGCAAATCAACTCAGACATATCCCAGATATTATTAAAAGCAATAAAAAATTAATTTGTACAGAAATAGAAAGGCATCGTAAGGAAGAAATAATTGAAAGTATATTGATTAAAGAAAAGATTGGAGAAGATTTAAAAAATCACTAACCCTTTCCTTAAAAACATGTTAGAACACTGAAAAAAGTTTAGGGGTGTATTGAGCCCACCGAATTCTCCCTTATCCCAGGTTGTGAATTTAAAGAACTTTCCAGAAAATCTCTAAACAACTTTAAGAACATATTAAAACATAAAGGTATACATAGGATAAATGATTGGATGGAGAAGTTGAAAGATAAAGGAAACATAAAAGAGATTTTGGGAGGAGAGGAGATTTTTTTTGCTTAACATGCTCCAGTTGGAAATGTGGACAAGAATGGAAAAGCAAGGAAGGGAATAGGAGAAAAATGACAAAATTTGAAGAGATCATTGAAAAAAGACTAAAACTAGATGAAAAGACAGAAAGAAAGGGAACTGTAAGTCAAATATATAAATTATTAATTAAGGTCAAACAGGATACATAAGGATTAATACCAGTGGCAACATGATTTGGATAAAGAAGCAATAGGAGAAGAGTGGGATAAAAGAATTATGAAGAATATGTCTGTAAGACTAAAGGGAAATTGCTATAAGATAGTATGGAGGTGGTATTTAATGCCAATAAAACTGAATACAATAAATAAAAATGTATCATCAGTATGTTGGAGATCTAAAAAAGAGAAGGGGGCGTATTTACATATGTGGTGGTTATGTGAAGTAAGAAAAAAGGAATGGAAGCAAATCTTTAAAGAAATAAGGGAAATAACTGGATTAAATATTCAAATGTCCCCATTAACAGCCTTAATGAATATGGTCAAGGATGATCAACTGCTGAAAGAAAATAAGGATTTAATTATAATAATGGTTACGGCAGCAAGGTTAACCAAATGATAACCAATTTAATTTAATTTAGAGGAATGGTATAGAGAATCATTGGATATGGCAACTGATAAACTGACTGATATGAAAATAAGAAGAGATCTATCAAAAAAGAATGATTTTAAGAAAACATTGAGCGTATTCCTGGAATATGTATTTCGGAGAGGGAAGGGGTTAATATTAACCCTGAGGGTGAAGGTGCCACTGGTGTATTATGTAATTGTATATCATTGTGGTGGTAGGTTTATGTTGTCTATGTTTGATGTTCTTTTAATAATAACATAAAATTTAATATATTCGCGAAGGCTTTCACGGCCGGGATCTAATGGTTGTTGTGGGTTTTTCGGGCTCTGGCCGTGTTCTGAAGGTTGTTCTTCCTAACGTTTCACCAGTCTCTGTGGCCGGCATCTTCAGAGGACAGCACTCTGTGCTCTGGTGTAGTTGGCTTTGGGAGTGCAGTATTTATGGCTGTGGGATAGGCTTTTGTCTTTTTGTGTCGATGGGTGATTAGTGAGTATTGCTGTGGGTGTATTGTTGTGCTAAGGAGAAGAGATTATCTGCTCTTGTGGTTGATGGGTGTCATTAGCTGGTCTTTTGTGTGTAGTGATCCCCTGTCCTTGTGGCTGGGTAGAGGGTTACTGGAAATCTAAACCAGTAAACGTAAGGAATACATGTGCTCTCTTTTTCTTCTTTACCACCTTCTTCTCCATTTTACCATCACAAACAATCTGTGAAAAAGATTAGGACTAGAGAGTGTGATTTGCCCAAGACCACACAGTGAGTTTCATGGCTGAGTGGGTTCTCTCAAAACCCAGTCCATCACTCTAAACATCTAACACACTAGCTCTCCATTATTTTATCTATTGCATTCATAATGATTTCACTTACAATGGGAATTCTACCATAATTAAAGCCCACAATGTGTACTATCATTCTCCTCATTTAATTACATGCTTATTTTTTTCATTGCATCTGAAGACCGTCATGAACCAAAACATATTCAGCTTTCACTGTTTTACAACAATACTAACTACACAAGCATAATACACAAAGCTTACTGTCCACTTTTCCTCTTCTTTTTGATGAAGCAGATGAACGAGAAGAACCTGCAGAAAGTGATCCTGAGGAATGGAGTGTAAACTCTACAGCTTGTATCTCAAAAGGTGACTTTCTGCTGGGAAACTCGTCTTGCAGGCTGCTGCTGCTGCTACAACTGTCAATACAAACATGAGCCTAAAATATATCTAAGATTTCTCAACTACCCCAATATATATGATAGTAAAATTCACCTGGATTTTGAGGATGAACAAAATATCATGCAGTTACAACAGTCTATCATTACAACCCATTCAGAAATAGCTGTAAATTGTCTAAAAAATACATACTTTATAATAAAGACATACTAATAAAGACATAATAAAGATCATCAGGACTTTTCACTTCCTTTAAAGAATAACTGAGCATGTGGTTACACTAGCATTAAGAACAACTGTTAAACAGTGTTTAGCATAATTAAATTCGATGTTTTAAAAGGTGACTACATGACACGAAAGAACTCACAGATTTTTTTTTGTCCAAGAATCGGATCTTCTGTGATCTGAAGTGTGGCATTTTGCTGTGCCAGAGAGGGTTGTTTATTTTAGAACAGACTTTAGCTCGATGTATAATTAATCAATCTATAATATGAATGCCACCATCACTGTAAACTGTGTTTCTGCTGCTGCTGCTGTTGCTGCTGCTGCTTCACCAGGGTCGCTAAAGCAGCCTGGCTTCATTTCCTCCTGTGCTCGGCTGGCTCCTCAGTGGCAGTGAAGCTAGGTTGCTGTCTCTAAGCAGTAGCAACACTGCCCAGCTGATCCAGGCAATGAAGTCTGGTGATCTAGGATGCAGTGCAGGGCACTGCACAGACCAGCTAGGTGGTGCAACACCTGCTCAGAGGCAGTGACCCAGCTTTGCTGCTTAAGAGCCAACTGAGAGGAGCAGCAGCAGCTGGTTCCTGAGCAGCGAAACTGGGTAGCTGCCTCTGAGCAGGTGTTGCACCACTCAGCTGATCCATGCAATGAAGCCCAGCACTGCATCCAGCAGTGAAGCTCAACACTGCATCAGAGGCAGCAACCTGACTTCACTGCCGCCACTCCACTCAGCTGGCTCCTCAGGGGCAACAAAGCTGGTTCGCTGCCTCTGAGTAGACGCAGCAGGTTTCAGCAGAAACAGTTCATTCACTTTTATAATCACATAAATGTCACATAATTATAAATAGAATTAAATAGCACTGGCACATATTGTGCAGAAAATCGCTCATGTAACTGGGCTCTGAGAGAGTACTTTTGGAACTGCTACATGTCTAGGCTTGAGCCATCAGTGTTGATCTGTAGAATTATATATTAAAGGTAACTACCATCAGGCTACCATAATGGTCTACCTCCACCTATTTTTTGCTGTGTGGATTAGTTGGTCCAGTCAGTGATGTTACTAATACAAGAAATCTACCTGAAGAAGTTTTCTTAACCATGTGATAGTTTATCCTTTTAGACTATGATTTTTCATGCTCCAGTATCTTTAAATAATACTTATATTGCAGTTTGGAAATAGGTACATGCATTTAAATTTAAATAGATAAAGTTCTTAACAAGCAGTTAAATACTTGGCAATCATTATGTAAAACAGTCTGAGATTAAGGAAATTCTGCAAGATGAGAGATCAGGATTTAAGATGTTACACTCTTTTGCATTTTTCCCTGTCTGAGAAATGAAAGAATTCTATCTCATAAAACTAAATATTATCTATACACATACATTTCTGTCAATTCAATTCCACTACCATTTTAACACTCACAGATACCTGGCTTCAAGAACAGCCTTTTTGTCTATTCCAGTTTCAGTTTCACGTGATAAGATGAAATTATCATCATATGAAATAATACTAGCTGGGGGGCTCATGACTGGAAGTAAAGGTTGCTGAGTAGGAAATCTTTGTCCTGACCATTCTGCGAATCCTGTAAAAGGGAAGAAAGTGAAAATGGAGTGCAACCCATGTTTCAAAAGAATCTACTCACCTCAAAAACTCTTCTAAACAACTTACTAAGTTAATAACTTAACCTAGAGTGCACCATATGAGAAGGCCAAAAGTGATCCAAAAACCATCATGACAAACTACTTCAGACTCATCTTCTTCTATATTGCTAAGCAGAGGAACTGGGAAATGTGCTTTCTACATAACAATGCTCTAAACAAACTAAGTGAGTTTAGTACAAAAAAGCAGATGCCAAAGTTTTCAAAAGAGCTTAAAACTATCAATTAATATTCATGTTAGCAAAACTTGGCTGAAAAGTTGTTGTCCATATAAAGAGCTAAACCTCATAAATTCAAGTACCACACAAGTGCAATCAGACTGACAATTATCTACAAAAACAGCAATAGCAATAAGTCTTTCATTTGTTTACCTTTCCCACATAACTGGTAAGATTTTGTAAAGATGTTGATGACACTATGCGGACTTCCCTTGGACAGTTCATCTATAGGTCTTGGAGCATTCCTCAACTGTGTGAAAATAGGGGAATACTTCTCTGCCTCTTTCTGAAATTCTTTTAAGGGTTCATTGCCAGTTTTATCTGCAACACAGAACTCGTTTTCCTTTAACACTTCAGTTCTCTTCAAAGCTGGGTGCTTTTCTCTTTCTTCCTCAGATAAAAAGTCATCACTGAGTGGTCCCTCACTTATTGAATCTAAACTGCCCCCATGAAGAACTTTATTTTCAGCAGCAGGAGAACATGTTTGCTTTTTGTACAGATTTCCCAGATTTCCTTCAGATTTGTGGCTGCTCGGAAGGCTGACAGCAGCAGTATGAGGAGTGATAATTTCTGGGAGCTTTTTAAACTCATTAAGATTTCCCACTCCAGGAAGGTTATCATCAAAACTTGCATGAGAGATGCAGGTACTCAGCATCTTTTGAAGCCTGGTTGAAAAAACATCATCCTCTTTCACTGGAGGACTGCGCGCCTTTGCCACATAGCCATCAACTTGATCTCTCTGGAACAAGTCACATTCAGAATTCCATGCTGCACCATAGTTAATGCCTGCCCCAGCTAACTTCTTTGCTTCATTTTCAATTCTACTGGACAGAGAGGCTGCTGTTGCCTTCAAGGCTTCAATGCGGTCAATTTTATTTTTATACTGATTAATGGTAGGCTGTACAACAGATGGCATAAACAGCTGAGATGTCAAAGGTCCAGAACCCACAGCACTGCTATGATTCCTTCTGGTAGATAATACAGAATCAAAGTCTTTTTTGGGGATACTCCTGTGATCTACGGATAAATACTGAGAGAAGAGTCCACCACTATTCAATACATCTGAAGACTGCGTGCAAGGTAGCTGCATTTTTGAACTTAGTCTATCTGGCTGAATCCACAAAGGCTCCAATAAATTATTCCTAGAAACAAAAGATTGAATTCTCATTAGTCTGGACAACATTGTGTTATTAAATCCTTATACATAGGAACTTTTTGAAAGAAATTTTCAAAATAGGACCTTTAAACCAGTTTAGATTATTTCCCCTGTTTACTACAAAAGGTAAGGTTATTGAGGACGCGCCATCCTGCCACATTGCCTGGACGCTACTGTTTAACTTTAACCCCACTGGTTTACTCTGTATAAATATAACACTAAACTACAATGTATACTGTACATCTAAAATCCATTATATGTAAATCTAGACTGCATAGTCAATTTTTGGCTTTATCTGAAATACCAACTCCACAGCTATGGCAAATAGTTGTTGGATTTTATAAGCATATGTCTTACTTTAAAAATTACATCCTCTAATGAGTTTCTTATTTTTCCCATGATGAATGTTCAATCTGCATGCTAGGCCTCATTTCCTGCATCAATACTTCTTAAGAGTTCTTTGGGAGGTACCTTCTATAGACCCGAAAAGATAGACTACAACTTCCAAGAAGCACTGCAGCATGAAATGATGTTTAGAATGAAGCCTCTGAGATATGCCTTGGTTCAGGCAAGAGAAATATAGATGGTGCGGATCTGTGGGCTGGAACTCTCAGTATTCTACCTGTAGATTTAGCATCCAAAAATATCCAAATGGCATATCCCAACATGCCTGCATGTTGGCATAGGCAGCAATATCCTTTGAAAAGAAAGGCAGTTCATCTGGAAATTCAGGACTGCCTGGTGATGTTCATTTCTCATACGTTACAACTGATTCTGAATGAGGCATTTCATCCAAATCACTCCAAGTCATCTTCTGGTGAAGATTGGCAAGAGGGTCCAGCACGAGACACAGTACAGCACATAGAAGCTCAGCAAAACTCACTGGTGCAACTCTGTGTGAGTTGAAATGCTGATAGGTTGTAAAGTAGCTATCATTACAGCAACTAACTGAGTTGAATGTAGTAAATATCAATGGTTAGGCAATGATAATTGGTGGCAAACAAGGTACGGAAGCTGGCATCCAAGATGATGAGTGCTAAAATAACATGCTCCCTGGGCTCCTGCTGGTAAGAAGATAAATTGATGGAACACTGGTAGAAGTCTGGCATCATGGGAGATCATTAATTGTGATAACAATAGTAGTAAGGTAACCTGAAGTAGTGATGATGTCAATGGCTGAAATAATCTATGCTGTGTCTCTTCCTTGAGGCCCTGAAGAAATAGTATCATGACAGTATCAAATACCTGGAGATTGTCTCTATACCCACATGCCTACCAAGCAGGTATTGCCAGTTCTGAAAGACCAGCATGTTCAGTAGCACATGGCCAGGTCAAGAAAATGGAAGGTCCTACTTAATGTCACTCTCCCAAGGAAGGGCTATTAAGAGAGATATTAGGGATAACCTGAGGAGGTAATGTTGGTGGTTCCTGCAAGATTTTCCCTTGCAACATGGAAGAAATTTCTTATACCTCTTCCGATCAAACTGCTGAGGTGGTTGTTGTCAGGGATAGGGACTTGAGACTTGGGACCCCCAGTCAAGGTGCACTTAAGTTGGACCAGCGACTTGACTCAGACTCAATTTGCATATTTTTTCCTAATGATTCGGACTTAACTTGCAACCTGACCCATTCTTTGCCGAGTCGCTTTGTCAAGTCCCTATTCTTTGGGGGGAAACACACCTTAAATGAAGCAGCAGCAGCACTCATTAGAAGATGCAGGAGAGGATTGGCAGGCAAACAGCAGAGAAGGGGATAGCGACAGAGAGGGAGAGTTTTCAAGAGAGTGGGGAGGGGGAGGGAAAATGAGACAGGCTCAGCATTTTTTCCCTGTTGGCTGACTCCAAGAACGAGGGTAGGTTGGGCAAGGGAAGTTGGACAAGAAGGAGGAATGTATACAACTGCTCAGCCTCTCTCTCACACACACACACTTTAGTTTCATCCTTGGCTGGTGTGGTTAGGCTTGGGGCTTCAAAAGCAAGTTCTCTTTGTAATCCAACACGAGGGTTGTATCATAATGCTGATGATACAAACAACAACTACCTGAATAGCGGAGACGTTTGTATAATTATGCTTTCTCTCCAGACTAGGGACAAATACAGCGTAAAGGATAATATTATGACGGCTCCATAGAACACTTTGCCAGAGATCTGCAAAGTAGACAGTCCACTCAAATCTGTTTTAGTAACAAATATTTATTTTGTGTGCAATGGGGTGGTGGTGGGAAATGAAATATCTGAAACCTCCTGTTAAGAAGTAAGAAAGTCTTTGTTTGAATGCACGGGTATGTCTTGTGCTCTTAAAAAACAATGTAGTATTTCTATAAAGTCTTCCACTAAATCTGGACAGAGTGAATGCTACAAACTGCATTCAAAAATGTTGAAACCTTGCTGTTATAGGAATGAAGATTGTCTATGTCTTGAGTATTTCTACAAACATAAGATGTTTCATAGTCTAATATATGCTCTTGTATTTTTGTAATATCTAATTCTATTTTTTTTTACAAAGTATAGTGGTACCTCGCAAAACGACGAATCTGCTAGACGATGACTTTTTGCGATTGCTGTTGTGCTTCGCAGAACGGTTTTCCCTATGGGCGATTTTCACTGGACGATGTTGGGTCCTTGCTTCGCAAGACGTTTTTTTTTTAAGGGGACGCTGTTTCGCAAGATGACGAATTTGCCAGCTTGCGTCCGTGCTTCGCAAGACAATTGTTTTTTAACTGTCACTGTTTCACAAGACGACTGCCTGCAGGGTTTTTGTTATTGTTTTTGTTCAAATCTCAACCGTTAATACCCAGGATGCATTGTGCCTTGTGCCAGGAAGGGTTAAAAAGCCTTCCCAATGCAGCCTGGGTTTACTTTTCCATGTGCAGTTCCAAGGTTGAGGTGCAACTCTGGTCTGTGTTGTGGGTACATCCTGTGCTTGAAGAATTGAAGATCTGCAGAACTTCTTGGCCTGCAAAAAGTACGTGTGCATTTGTTCTCTTGTGTTGGTGGGTGATTTTAATGCAAAAGTCTGATTTTAATTTTTAATTCTGGGTACCTTGCAGAGGGAACTTAGGGGGCTGGCTTCTGTTGTGGGTGGTGGGTTTTATTGCAAAAGTCTGGTTTTAATTTTTAATTTTGGGTACCTTGCAGAGGGAACTTAGGAGGTACAGTAGCTTCTGTTGTGGGGGTGTTATTGCAAAAGTCTGATTTTCACTGTTTTATTTTTGGGTAACTTGCAGAGGGAACTTAGGGGGTACAGTAGCTTCTGTTCCGGGGGTCTTAATGCAAAAATCTGTGTGAATTCCGGAAGGAGCATTTTGACATCATCAGCTGCCTCAAGATGGTCAACATAGCCTGGGACGGGATCAGCCAGAGAAACCGTAACTCTGCTTGGTTCAACCTATGGCCAGACTGTGTGGCAACAAGTGACTCTAGTGTTTCTATGCCTGCACCAGAGTCAACAGTGATGGAGAACATTGTTGCCTTGGGGAGGAACATGGGCCTTGAGGTCACAGAGGAGGACATCTGCGAACTTGTGGAAGGCCACGACCAGGATCTGTCCACCCAGGAGCTGGTCGAGCTGCAGGCAGAGGCTACGGAGGAGCAGGGCTCTTTTGGAGATGAAGAAGAGCCGGGGAGGAACAGCTGCCCACCAGTAAACTGAAGGAGCTCTTAGACCAGGGGCAGAATGTGCAGACTCTAACACAGCGGTACCACCCGGAGAAGGCTGTGGCACATCACCTTGTGCACACTTTTGACGAAAGGATCGTGTCCCCTTTCAGAGGGATGCTGAAAAGGCGGCAGAAGCAGCTGACTATGGAGAGGTTCCTCACAAAGAGGCCGAGACAGGAAGAGGAACCTGCTGCTTCAACCAGTGGTGCCCAGTTGCCTTCTTCCTCCTCCTCGTCCTCCTAGAAGACTGCTGCTTGCTGTGATATGGGGACAGTTCTGTGTGCCTCCAGGTTCCTGAACTGAACACTGGTCCTGGTGGTTTAGAGACTTCAGCCTCACTTGTTCAGTTTTAAAATATGAAATGTAAAAAAATTCTGCACTGTTGGTTTCTGTATGTTTATGCACTTCCTGAAGAGTTTGTGTATGTTTCTGTGTGTTTATGCACTTTTTGAAGAGTTTCTGTATGTTTCTAAAGAGTTTTGCACAATTCAATGACTGTTATTGACTGTTTCTGTTCAGTTTCACTGAAGGCAGATGTTCCTGCCTCATGTTTGTTGATTTTTAAATGTTTTTCTATGTTATTTATAGAGTTAAAGTTTACTGTTTGAAATTTTTGAAATAACCTGCACAGTATTTATGATGTTAAAGAGCACTTAATAAACCCTTTGTTAACCAAATTTGTCTTTGTTGTGACTCCCCCACCCCATTGGAACGCATTAAACAGATTTTAATGCATTCCAATGGGGAACCGTGTTTCGCAGGACGATGTTTCCTATGGATGGTTTCGCAAGACGACGACTATTTTCCTCACTGGAATGCATTAAACGGATTTCAGTGCATTCCAATGGGGAACCGCATTTCGCAAGATGATGTTTTCGCAAGACAGCGATTTTCGCGGAACGAATTAACATCGTCTTGCGAGGCACCACTGTAGTTCTGAATTTGATAGGCACTAGCGGATGCTTGGGGAAGGTTTTCTACACGCATAACAGTTGAGCCACTTCAGCTGGAATATCTGCAACCTCCCAAAGAAGAAAATCATTTTTCTAAAAGCAGATTCTTTCTTTGCTTACAGAGGGAGACTATACCAAGTAAAATGACAATTTTTTAAAAATCAAACTGGGTATTATTTGGTAAGACTAGCAAGTCTCACAGTTCATTGCAAATTAAACACATTTTTAAAAATGGGAGAAACAAGGAACCAATTTTTAAATATATGCAACAATGTTTTTCAAGGGAACCTTGGACTATTTAGGAACACAGAATCTAATTCATGAAAAAAGAAAGGTTACTTACCTGTAACCATGGTTCTTCGAGTGGACCTCTG